AGGATAAATTACATCTCTCCTTTTTCACTCTTATAGCCTTGTCTCCTTGTTAGCCAATTGGAGAGCTTTTTTGTGACCCATTTTGAGGTTTTCTCCCTTTTTGTAATCACCTCTCTCCTTATTCATTATATCAATGAAATCGTTTCATTTAAAAAAATACATATAACAAGGATCAACACGTTTAGAGCAAATGTTAACCATTATGGGTTGGTCCAGAAGTCAAATAGAAATGACGTTATCCTAATAGATTTGAGGTTACAATTCAAAGCACGGTATGTCGACCATTGTTAGAATATTAAATATTCATTAAATTTCATGATACTAAATGTTATGAGATCGGACTTGCGATATTGTTGTTCTCATCAGATGAGTTGTTGCAGCATCCATTGGTTCAAGCACCTACAGTTAATGAAAAAACATTAACAAATGTTCATTATCTTGGAGAATTGTGTTTGAGGCATCATGGTAATAATGTTGCCTTTGAATCTGTCCTCTTTTGTAGGGTATTGGATGTACAAAGATCAGTAAAAGGAGAAATGAAGGTTCCATTAATGGGAATTCAGAATCAAGATCATACCTTGAAAAGAAGCTTGTGTTTTGCTTTGGTTCATATGTTGCAGCTCAAATGCTACTTCCTTTCGGAGAAGAAAATTTCCTATCTTCTTCTGAATTGAAGCAGGCACAAGAGGTTCGTTTGATTGAGCTCTCTAGAATATTCGTCAATAATCTTGTTAACTATTGAGCTTTTATATAACCCTGCCCCACCCCACCAAATCTGATCTGTCGTAGATTGCAACAAGAATGGTGATTCAATATGGCTGGGGGCCAGATGATAGTCCAGCAATTTACTGCCGAAATAATGCGGTATACTATTTTCTTCATAGCAAAAACTTAATTGTGTGATACTTCTGCTATTGTTTAATAGATTTGGTCATTACTCGCGGAGCATTTGGAATCTGAGTGGACCAATTATTTTTCTATGGGAAACAATTGAGTTCCCTCCAAGAAAAACGTGCATGGAGGATGATTGGGTTCAGTAATTGCATATCACTACTGCCAAAACTGATAATTCTAGTTTCCTCTCAGGGATCACATGCCATTTTTTTTTAAAGGAAACAAGAAATTTTCATTGATGTAATGAAAGAAAAGGAAAAACAATGCAGGAATTAAAAGAAAAATAGCAAAGGTAAAAACCAAAATTATCAGCGAACAGGGGGAGTTATAAAAATCTCCCAATTCTTACAAATATCTTGTAACAAGAAGCTAAGTATTTGAAAAGAGCACACCACTGTGAAGCCTAAATCTTGTCGTTTCAAAACACTACCCAATGCTTGTGAGGTCTTGCCCACTACCCATTCCTTTTTTCTTTTTCTTGCATAAATATTGTTATTTTTCTCCTCCCGAAGTTCAATCTTTCTTTGTTATTTGTAAAGCTGCTCAAAGAATCCGGATCGTGAAACCTCTTTTTGGCTCCTCTGATTTTTCATTGTTATTTGATATCTGCTCAAGCTACTTTGTATGGCTCTGATTTATTGATGTCATCCACCTTTGGCAATGGCATAGGTTGCTTCTTTGAGCATGGGTGATAACTATGAATATGAGATGGCGGCTAAAGTTGAGAAGGTATATTTTCAATTGTGCCTTATTTTGCACATATGATGAGTTAATCTTATTTGATTCCTACTTGGTAAAAAAAAAAAAATCTTAATCTGCTTGTAATTATTTAATTAATCTTGCTCTTGTTTGCTTTTCTAGATTTATGATTTAGCATATTGTAGAGCAAAGGAAATGCTTGGGAAAAACCGTCAAGTTCTTGAAAAGCTTGTTGAAGAATTACTCGAGTTTGAAATTCTTACTGGGAAGGTAAGTTCTCAATTTTGAATAAGTATTTGAATCCTATTTGATATTTTTTCTGAAATGGGTTCTTGATCCATTGGATTATAAACCTACTACTCACCCAACTGACTGTTTAAGAAGTGAGGGGAAAATATGAGAGTACAACTAATGATAGCTTATTCGGGAACCCGAGGTCCATGTTGGTTCTACAAGTGTTTAATTTTCTTCCAAACAATTCAGTGTTCAGATGACACTTAAAATTGTGGTTGAAAAATTATTTTTAAGAATATAATAGATTTGGCAGCAAGTTATTTTCTTAATCAAATTGATGGAAAGTAGGAATAACTCTATCTACTATTGTAAACTGAAATACTATAAGTCTGTTCGTCTTTGTTATATTGAACTTCTGAAGATAAATCTATCTATTAATTTTGATTGAGTTTAGGATGAGTGAAACATATATTATAACTATTAAAAAAAACCAAATTATAATTTTAAGCCAACAGTTCTGTTGAAAGGGCCTGTTAATCTTCTTGGTCCCAATCTGGTTAAGAAGTCATTATTTGTCCATTAAATTGTAGTCTTGTTGATTGAGGTTTGTGTGATATGGACCTTGATTGGCCATTTTGGGAGGAATTCTACTATTAGTGACATTATTGATGACATTTTAATGTTATTATGCGTTTGACCAACTTTCTCTTGGCAGGTCTTGGAAAGATTAATTGAAAACAATGGAGGAACTAGGGAAAAAGAGCCATTTTTTCTTTCTAAATATCACGATAGAGAGGTATATTAAATTACTTTTGCCCACTCTATTTATGATTTAAACTTCTCTTTCTTCTTGGTGAATTGCTGTGATTTCATGTTTTGAGGGTTCGGTACTCGTAAATTCACAATTCTAGCCCGCTCGATTGTTTTGCGTTGAAAATATCTTCATGAGACTTGTTTACTTGTAGTTGTTTTAGAACTCCTTGATTTCTTTGGTCATTTCTGCTAGAACATAATATAATCTATGTGATTTCTGATATCAAACACCAGAAGCATGTATTCAATACAACATCAAGTTAAATGTGTTCATGATATTGTTGATTGTTATGGCTGCTCCATAGTGTTATTTATTTATTTATTTTTTTAATATCTATTTTTCAATTTCATTCAAATATATATATATATATATATATATATATATATATATATTGATGGGAACTTGATATTTTGCGTTCATGTCTGCTAAAAATCATTGATAAGGTACACTAACATTTTACCCATTCACTGTAGCCATTGACTGGTGCATTTCTCGATGGCGGGAACTCTTCGGGCACTGCTTTTTTAAGTCAAGCAACGTAGAATAAGAGAAAAAGGATTTTGATTTGGAACTGAATCATTCAAACGGTTAGTAAAAACCGTCGTAGTGGCACTACAGGAGTTCCTTGTTTGTCATTTTGAGCATAGAGATATAATGTAACCGAGATGTATTGAGTAGAGAGATACAATACGATGTAATGTAGTGTAGAACAAAGTTTTTGGTTGGGCAGAGGCATCGTTTTTCCTTTGACAACCACAAGATTTTGTAATATCTGTTGTACTCAATCTCTGTAAATGTAGTTTGACATTTCAAAGGAATTATTTATGATTGAAAAATTCATCATCTTTGATCCATAGAGTGTAAATCCCATTTTGACCCGCAATTAATTTTCGTTGCGTTTTATTCTCCAAACTTATTGACAAAAATGCAGAAGATTAGATTCATAAAGTATTGTAGATTTTCATGTGAATAATGAAAATTAAAAAACAGAAAAAAAAGTGAGCACCAAATAAATTTATATAGGTGGCTAGATTTGAGCACCAATTTTAATAAATAACCATAAATAAGCAATAGTTATGCATTTTGCACAAATGGTCAAATCAATATTTAGGAGTTTTAAGAAATGGATGATCTTTCAACTTTGCCTTTGCCATATTTCATTTGCAACGACCTATCACACATTAAGGGATTTGAAACCAACTTCATTTTTCCAACATTTAAGGGATTTTTAGTTGTTTTGATATCATAAATGGAGGTAAGAAGCAAGTCCAGACAGTCGTAGATACTCACATTGACCCATCAATGAGAGTGGGACATTAGTGCATACCACACGTCACCATAAATGCAAGGAATTCGAAGTAATGAATCTGATTCACATTCATGATTTGCACGCCTCTCGTTATATAGAAATTGTGCAAACAAGTCTGTTATTATTAGGCTACTAGTGTATTACCACGTGCAATGCACGTATAAATTTTTTTAAATTATAAGGTAACTTAAATTTTATATAATTTCACGTAAAATATTTTAAGTATAATTATTTTAAAAAATAATTAAGATTAATTTTTATATATATTTATTATTATTGACAGCTAATTACTAATAATAAAATGTACTATTTATAATTATTTTTAAAATATATTATTTATAGTTAATTGTTAATGATATATTTTGTAAATAAATAAATTAAAAGTAAAGGAAAAAATTATATATTAATACAAAAGTAAATAGGTATTTTAATATTTTTATTTTTAAATTATTTCAACCTAATATGGGTCCTTTATTTTATTTTTTTAATATTTTGTTTGTTTATTAAATATTTGTTTAGGGCTGACATTTTGTATATGTTGAATTTTTTAACTAAAACTAAATTATTTTATTGATTTAATTTTATATTATAATTAAAATTATTAAAGAAAAATTCTTCAAATTATAATATTAGAAAATAAAATGACCAAAAGTTTTATATTCCACCTTTTACGATTCTATACAAATTATTGTTTATAATTAATTTATTAATTAAACATTTTTTTATATACTGGCTTCTATGATTGTTTTTTTTCAACAATAAGAACATGAGCTTGTAATTATCTATATTTTAAACAAATATTCTAAATAAAATTGCTAAAAAAACATTCCAAATAAAAAAAATACACTAAACAATAAAAAACATTAACATTAGTAACAAAAAAAAAGTCCAAATCCTAAACTAAATAAAATTGCTAAAAAAAGAAACATTTCAAATAAAAAACACACTAATTAGAAAAATAACAATAGTAACAAAAAAAATCCAAGTACTTACTATACACTCATCTTTTAGAGTAAATATGCTCATTCTTGAAGATTGCTTGACAGATACTATTATTCAACTTTGTAAAATTGTGGAATGGTAATGTTACAAACCTCGTATTCGAGATATGTAGATTCAACATATGCCTCTCTTGCAACTTGATGAATATGTCACAAATATCTCGAGATGTTTTCAAGATTGAATCATCTTTAAGAGATGTTTCAAGGAACTACGAATAAAAAAGTATTGAAATTTGTGAAAAACATGTAGAAGAAAACCTATTTTTATAGTAGTAGAGGATAAAACGTTACAAAAGCTTTTCAAATTCTAAAACTCTTGAAATTCTAGTATGAATTTTAATTMAAGAAAAAATTAATTTTATGTTGTTGGAAAACTTTTTGCATTCTAACCTTTTATATTCCATGCATTTATAGTATTGATAATTAATAATTAATAATTAATTTAATATTTGTAATAATATATTAATGGCATAATTTGTAAATTTGTAAATTTAGTAAAGGGCAAAAGTGTCCAAAAATGTTTTTCCTACATCCTACCTTTTTAATATAATATAGATTTGAAGATAGGGATGTGAAATGAGTTCTAACAATTCTGTCGAATGATTTAAGGAGCGATTGCTACATCGTTGTGGATATTGCCTCGGTAGATATAGACATTGACCCCATAAATGGGGGTACGACACCAGCACTATAAGTACTAACATTAACCCAGAAATGGAAGTGTGATACCATTGCAGATCACTATGTCTCCGTTCACAGGTTGATTATGGGGATTGGGTATATTAGGAATCATTTTAATGGTCTCTTCAACTTGATTCTCTTTTTTATATTCTCTTTGTATTCTTAACCTTTGCTCACGTCTTACCCTTCTAAGGGTTCTTTCTATCTCGGGATCAAACTCCATGCAAGCCAAAACCTATGCTCATACACAAAACTCAACCCTTCAAGGTTAGGTATAACAAATAAAATCTCGAGGAACAGAGGTATGCAGTAATAACAATATGAAACAATTAACTTGAAAAGAAAATAATTTTTCAAAATAAGTCCTTGCAATGGTGCAAAAAACTTGTTGGAGACTTTTGATTCAAAATGAATTTGATGAAATGTTTTGAACTTAATCGAGTTTTATAGGTAAAAATGGTTAATAAAGTAGTGATTTAGTTTTGCAGATATCAAGATACTGAATAAATGCAACCCCTTTGCTTCATGCCTTGGTTTTGAAAGAAATAACACTGGTTAAAAAGCGCCAGATGTTAGTTGACACTTTTCTAGAAATTGAATCTACTCTTATCACGAATTGCTTTTGGTTGTTTCAGAGCCTAGGGTAACCATTGCCATATGTCTATGCATGGTTACAATCGTAGAAAATTATTATCGACTAACCACTTTTATGGGTCAGATACCTATGTCTAGGATCATATTTTATGTACTTATGTCCAAGTCACATCCCATATTAACTCTCAACTAAATTACCTAACCTAGCTCTTTTAGTATTAAGCTTTCGTTTAGCAAAACTCCAGAGTGGCCAACTAAGAAATTTCTTGAGAGATAAATTGAAAAGTTAACCAAGAAGGCTCCAGGCACTACCTACGTTTTTTTTTCTCCAGTGTTAAAATTAAATAGATTTTTCTAGGACATTTCATAGAGAGGTTGAAAACTAAATTAGTTGACAATGAAAGTAATGCAAATGCTCATAGAATAAGGAAAAAAAAACTTGCGATTGATTAAAGTTAAAGATTAAAAAAATACAACAAGTCCTAGCTTACATTTTTCTCTTTCGAGTTTTAAGGGAGTTACAAAAACTTGTTCGCGATATTATTTACCTCCAAAGATAAGAGACACGTGCAAGTGTACCTGGTCACAAGTAATACAAGGAAATAATTCAAGGTCGAATCTTGAAGGACTTGTGCTTTCAAAATGAGTTTAGTGAGATAAATGTTTCAAACTGCAATTGTAGTTTATGGAAAAAAACGAATGATAAAATTGTGGTTTGTGTTTGCAAATATCAAGCTTCTTTATAAAACACAACTTCTTTGCTTCCTGCCTTAGTTTTGAAAAAAAATTAAGAGAATACACACTTGAGGGGAAAAGAGTCAGGCGCTACTTGGCAAGTTTTGGAAATTTGAGTTCTACTATTCCATGAACCGCTTTTAGTCGCTGTAGAGCCTAGGGTAACATACTATCATATTTCTATGTGTAGTTACAATTGTAATATATAATTATCAACTCATTTGTTTTTATGGGTCAGAGGGCCTATGTCTAAGACCATGGTTTATGCGCTTATGTCTAAGTCACATCCCATATTGGTTTCATAATATTTTACCTGACCTAATCTTGTCAGTATTAGACTTCTGTGCATAGATCAATTCCTCAATGGCCAACCTAAGAAATGATTTGAAGAAAAGTTTTTAGAAACCAACCTAGAATTGCGTTAGGCGCAATTTGGATTTTTTCCCGACCGTGTTGAAATTAAATAATTTTTGTTAAGACATTCTACAAAGAGGTTGAAAACTAAATTAATGTATAATTAAAGAAAGGAAAACACACAAAAACATGAGAGAAATATTTTCCATTGATTAAATTCAAATAATAATAAAGTACAATGAGTTCTAGCTTAACCTTCTTCTCTTTCAAGCTTGAAGGGAGTTTAAACTCGCTAAAGAATGATAAAGAAATGAAATAGATGAAGAACAAATGAAAAGAACTTGAATTAAAACGAGACAAAATGTAACAAAACTTAGAGTTTCGAAATACTAAAATAATAAAGGGAAATGAACTACAACGAACACAACTGAGTTATAAGTGTACGGAAACAAACAGGGCCTACTGTTGTTTTCTAAACAAACCCGAATTTGATCCCTTATAAGCTGGCTGTAGTTGAACTCGATCCCCTTCATTAGGTAATACACCATCATCACCTTGTTTCGCTTGATGAAGGAATTGTGAGAGGTAGGAATCAATCGGTTCTTGACAACATAATACCACACTGTGGCCTTTTCATTAAGATTAAGCAGTGTCAAAGAAAGAGTTCTCCTTGGCGATATGGTCTATGTCTTCTTTGGCCTACACACGAGCCTTCGCGTCTTCTCAACTTGCTCATCGATGGGTGCACAATGAGCTCATTTCCTTCTGCATTGAAAGTATCAGGCAAACCCAAATAAGTATTAATGACGGCGAGGGAGAAACTTACAAACTTAGCTCGTATGTGCATGCCATTTCCTCTATGGGGTGAATGACAACATAAAACTCCTTCACCAACTTCTTGGAAATACGTGTAGGTGGTACAAATAAGGTCTCCCATGCATGCTCCACAAGTTGATGTTTCACATACTCTGGGATAGACTTTTGTTCCTCATCGAAGTCCTTCTCAACTAAGAGCTTTCGGTCTGTAAAATTCAACTTTTTAACTTCTATCGATCCCTCTTAGCTCTTGCTGGTCGTGGCGCGGTTACTTCAGGCTCTACTTCATCCGACCCTACCGAGTGATCTTCAGCCTCTTCAACTGGCCTAGCCTTTTTGGCTTTTTTAGATGAACTGCTACCCG